CCCCAGCACCCATCACGAGTCCATCGGGCCACACCTGTACTCAGAGCCCTCCAACACCCTAGCCAAGGCCGCCCCTGCCCCCGCCACCCTCACAGCCTCTCCCCTGCTGGAGCTACTCCCCAGGGGCCACTCAACCCCAGTGGAAGGACACAGCACACCCCAGCTCCCTGCAACACTCACGGCCTGCCTCGCTCGGGAGGACGCAGCCTCTGAGAGGGCAGGAACGGCCTGTTTTGTGCACTACTGTGTCCCCAGCAACTGGAACAGGGATGAGGAGGTAGTAGCTGCGCTCGACAAGCCTCTTCCTAAGGAATGAGTGAATGGATGACAAGGGACGAGGAAGGGGTGGATGGGGGGCGGGGCAGGAGGAGTGAGAGGCTGGGGCAGTGCATGGAGGGGCTTCCAGTCCACGCACTCACTCACTGCTCCCTCTCCCTCTGTCTCACTTCTTTGCACCCCACCTCGGCTGACGGACGTGCTTCTAAATTCAGTGGAAACTCAGACACAGTGAGAGAACTTCCACGCCACCCTTCCTGCACCTGCTGGCCTATGCAGATGCACAGGCCTGCACTCCCGGAGGTCCTGGACTCCGCTTCCCTCATGGCTCCAGGGCTGTCCCCTTTCTGTCCACATTGTCCGCTTGTCCTTCCCTCCTGGACTATGCACGTGGCATGGACGGGCTGTAAACCCCCAACTTTATAAAACTCTCCTGGCCTCCATCTCCCTCCTGCCTCTGCCCCGTCACTCTGCCTCACTTTGCTGCAAAACTCTCTAAAAGACAAGCATTGCCCATAGGTGCCCCCCACAGCCCCTTTCCTCCCATTCCCAGCAAGCCCTCGACCCCACCACGTGGCTGGACCAGCTCTTACCTCAGACCCACGGGGCGCAGTGCACAGCCTTGGGTCCTCTCGTGGCCTCTGAAGAGCAGAGCATGCTCTTCCTTCCCAGAACACCGCCTACAGCCAGGCTCACCTCCGCTGCTCCACCAACCTCACCACCAGCTGCCACTCGTAAGTCCAGGTGCCCTGGTCTCCATCAGAGGGCAGCTCTTCCTCCCCACTCCCCATTCCCTGGGGATCCTAGGTGGTCTCAAGCTCTGAAGATGACTGGGACACTCGTGTCCCTCGAATCGCCACCTCCAGCCACACCTCTTCCCAGGCTGCTAGATGGCTCACCCCTCACGCCCTCCAGTCCTTCCTCTGACGACCCTACGCAAAGTGGCACCCCCAGGCCTGCACCCTGCATGCTTTATCCCATTTCATATGTGAGAAAAAAAGCACGGAACGCATCACCATCCACTCATCCGTCCACCCGCTGACTGCTCTCTGGTGCACGCCTACGCCGCTGAGCACCACGCCAGGCTGCAGAGAACCCAGGCCCGGGAGGCATCTTGTCCCCAGAACATGGCCCAGCGGGCAGAGGTTCAGCTGTCTTCGTTCACTCCTGAGTCCTCAGCACCTGGCAGAGGCTCCATGAACACTGAATGAATGATGAACGGGTGGAGGGAGGGCCAGTAGCAGGGCAGCCCACCTGGCTGGACAGACACAGGGCCAGAGAGCTGAGCAGAAGGCAGGATGGTGGACGGGGCATGGACAGGAGGGCAGACAGAGGCAGGGAAGAGGCGGCCTTCCCACCTCCTCCCCACGACCTGAGGTCCTTAAGAGCTGCGTCCTGGCACTCAGCGGGACTCTTGCTGGGGTGAACTGCTGGAGCACACATGTCAGGCACCACCGGGCCCTGTCCTCACCCCAGGCCCACTCTGTGTGGGGAGCCGGCTCAGCCCCGACCCCACCCATGTAGCACGGTGTTCTTGGAAGCCAGGGAAGGGAAGCCTCACTCCTGGGCCCAGAATCTCTCTTGGCAAATGGTCCACTCAGACGACCACTGGAGATGGCCAGGAGCCAGGAGCCCTCCTGGAAATGAGGCAGAGTCCCGTGGCAGGGACCCAGCCACTGTGTCCTCACCCCGGCCCAAGCAAGTCAGAGGAGTTCCAGATGGCCACGCACGGGCTGACTCAGTCAGGAGCACGGCTGGCAACCGAGGGCCTGAAGGCCCTGGGCACACACAAAGGCAGGAAGCCGCCAACAGCCCTCACAGGCCTGGAGGTTTCTCAGAAGCACCCTCTGATCCTCACAGTACCCCCAGGCTGGGACCCCAGCCCAGGCCCCACAGCTGCTCCCCAGGACTGCAGGGGCCCGGCAGCATTAGAGCCAACTACAGCCGCCCCCAGCCCAGACGCACACATGCAGGCTCACGGAGGGCGCCCCCAAGTCTTGAGAGAGAAGCAAAGCGGAGACAAGGGGGCAGAGCGCCCACCTTCCCTCCCAGGTGAGAACAGAGGCTCAGAGCCTCCCCAGGCCGCAGAAGGCATGGACCCAGGGCCTCCTCCACAGCTCCACACCAGCCTCAGGAGCAGGGCGGCCCCAGCCGGCCTCTGAGGGTGCTCAAGGCTTTGCCAAGCAACAGGCCAGGGTGTCTGCCTCTCCCTCCAGCCCTCTGAGCACCAATTAAATAAACTCTAATTAAAAACAACAAACTAACGAGAAATACCACCCACTACTCACAGGCCCTTGGCTCACAGGGATGAGGTGAGGGCTCCTCCCTGGGCTCCCCATGGACCATCACTCACCCCACAGTGGACCCAGCCCCCTCTACACACAGATGCACACACAGGGGCTCACGTGTCCCCAGGTGCCCCACACGGGAGCAGCAAAGTGGCTCCCCCCGTGACTTGGAGCCAGCATGTAGCCCCGTGAGACACAGATCACCTCCCACCCGGGGTTCCCCGCACAACCCAGGCTGCCTGGAGGGAAGATGTGTGGAGGCGGAGGAACCTGGAAGCCAACGCAGCAACGCCCAGGCCCTGCTGCAGACACAGGAGAGCAGAGACGTACCCAGGCACAGGGAAAGAGGAGCGGCAGGAAGAACAGGAGAGAGAGGCAGAGAGACACCAAGACACCAAGAGGGCCAGAGACAGAGAGCGTGGAGAGGAGACAAAGGGCTAGACAGGCAGACTGGGAGGAGGACGGAGGGAGAGGGAGGCGAGGGAGGGAGAGAGGCCGAGAGAAACAGAGGAGGGAGCGGGGAAGAGGAGGGGGAGGAGAGGGGAAGGAGGAGCAGCCCTGGACTCAGTCTATGTGGGCTGGGAGATCCAGGGGTCCTGCCCAGGGCTTGCTGTAACTCCTCCTGCCTCCTCTCCTGGCCCTCAAGGGCTGACACACTCAGCACCGTGGACAGCGCCCCATGGGGCCCGGTCCTGCCGCCTCTACCCAGCTCCCCGCTGGCCCGCACCCCCCAACACTGCTTACACCCCAACAATTCATTACTTCAGCAGAGGCTCACTGTCCCCTCCCAGGTGCCCGCCCCAAGTGAGGCTCCAGGGACCCCCTGAAAAAAATAAGACACCATTGTCCTCAGGGACTTGGGTCCACAGGGAGGGAGAGAGGTAAACAGCTAGTGACTCCTGGGCTGCCTCTGGGAGTGCCCACTGGATGGGGGAGCACCCAGTCCTCTGAGGGGCCGCACTCTCCACCAGCCACCTCCCACCCCAGCCCCCAATGGGCATTGCTAGTAGTACCACAGACCCCCACGGGCCTTCCATAAACTCTACCCCAGGGCCATGCTGCAGAAAGGCATACAAGGCACCTGAGTGCTGCTGCGCCCAGCACATCACAGACAGCTCTGGGGGCTGAGCCTTCCGTGCAACCCCCACAAGCCCAGTTCTGTAAACACTGCCCTCACCCAGCAGGGGCCAGCCCCAGGCTTAGGAGCAGGCAGAGCAGATGGGGGCAGCACCCCAGGATCCAGCCAGGCAATGCAAGGCTCCCTCTGAGGGCCTCACCCAAGAGTCCAGAGGCTGTGTAGCTGACTGCTTCTTCCTCACACACACAGAGCCTTGAAGGCATGAGCCCCAGACTCGAGGACTCCACAGCCACCTCCCTCCTCTGCCCCCAGCCCAAACACCCCTCCACCTACCCTCCTGTGCACCAGGCATCTTGGGGCAGTCACTGGGTGAGAATGGGGCTCTGGAAGGAGAGCTCTCGACTGCTATGGGGCCTGCTCCCTCCTCTTCCATCTGGGCTCTGGGCCTCAGAACCATAAGGCTCAGGAAAGAGCAGACAGCGGTCCCTGGCCCAGCACAGAGCCTCTGACACTGAAGTGCTAACAGGCTCTGTGGGGCCAACTCCCCCAAGCACTCACTCCCCAGCCACCACTCTCCACACCAGAGCCACAGCCCAGCCCAGCTTCCACCTGCCAGTCAGAGAAGCAGGAAACAGGACTCACAGTGCCCACTGCACAGGTTGAGAAGCTGACACCCTGGAGGGTGGGGTGCAGAGCACTGGACCTGAGCTCCCATCCGGGCCCCTTAAGTCCACTTTCTAGATTTCCTGGTTATTTTGGGAATCGTAAGCTATTGTTAGGGAAAGTGGTTGAGGAGAAACTGCTGAAGCACCTTCCCGGCCCTAGGAACTGTGAAAGCACTTAATACACACAGCCTCATCCCAGGCAGCACAAGGGCTCTGAGCGAGGTGGACGCCACAGGTAAGGGTCTCAGGCAGGAACAGAACTCAAAACGCCAAGTGCCTCTCCCAGACCACAGGCTTGCGTCAGGCCGGAAGTCCAGCCCTCCTCCTCCCTAGGAAGCTCCTCACCTGGGCAGCAAAGCCACCTCTAGCAGGCGCCATGCTGGCTCAGGCCAGCCGTGGAAGCTGGTGGCCCCTGGCCTGTGGGCTCTGCAAGCCAGCGCCTTCTGGGGACAGGTCACTGTGATCCTCCCTTCAGTGAGCAATACAGCACTGGCACCTCTGGGAGAAGCACCCCCATCCCACACAGGATGGCAAACAGACTGCCTCACATTCATTCATCTCCAGCAGGGCTGTGGGGGGACCCCAGTGAGGAGACTGCAGCCACCCCAGCCCCACGGCGCAAATGAGCTTCAGACAGCAGACAGAACATGCCCGGGCCGCACACGCTGGGCCTCCCGGCCTCAGCTTGCCTACCCTGTGAGGACGACCACGAAGTCCATGACGTTCCAGCCGTTCCGCAGGTAAGAGCCCTTGTGGAAGACAAAGCCCAGGGCGATGATTTTGATTCCTGCCTCGAAGCAAAAGATCCCGATGAAATAGGGCTCCGTGTCGTCCTAGGAGAAGTAGAGAACAGCGGTCACCCCTGGCCCCTACCCGGTGCAGCAGCAGGCAGAGACGGTTGGTGAGGACCCCACCCCACCGTATGCAGGTCACAGCCATTGTGAGGGTCTGACCCTCCTCACCTTGCCCCCAACACCCTGCAGATTCTCCAAGGCGCCATTCCCATCACTGAGCCTGCTTGCCGTCTGCACGTGTCCCCTAATGGGATGCACCCCTGTTTACAGCAGCAACATCCCAGTGATGCCTGCGGGCCCCTGGTGCCTCCCACCCTGGCATCTCAGCTTCTGCCCACATCACAGTGGGGCCCCAACCTCCCTGCTGGCACCATGCAGTGGGCCTTGCTTCAGGGAAGACAGCGATGTAACGGTACTACTTGTGGGTGCTTACCAGGTAGTTTCTCCTGTATTAACTAGGGTGACCCTTTAATACCCCAGGAGGTCATCCCCATTCTAACATGAGGGAAACAGAGGCACAGAGACGCCCAGGAGCCAGGCAGAGGCCACAGCAGCCTCTGGGTGGGAGCCTGCACAAGGCTGCCTGGATACAGCTCAGGTTTTCTTGAACTCAGTCCAGCCCCGTTATGCATTCAACATGTACCCGGGTAACCAGAGCACGCACATCTCGGCAGAAAACAACAGAAACAGAGAAGCACAACCTCGGCCCTGAGGGTGCTGGGCGATGACCACCACATCTGTGAGGACCCTGGAGGGAGCGAGCCACAGTCCAGGCCTGAGGCTGGGAGCCACCCTGGGCTCAGATCACAGGAAGCCTCCCAGAGGGCGTGGCGCCTGCAGGCAAGGCTTCCACAGCTCGATTTTGAGAAAGGGATCCAGGTGGAGGGAACAGAGCAGACAAAGGAATGAAGACAGCTGATCCTAGAAAGATCGCTTTCCTGCACCCCAGGCTGAGCTCCAGCCAACAGTTACTGAGCACGAGCGCGCAGAGCCAGGCCCTTCCAGTGCCGAGCTGGGAGCAGCAAACAGGGTGGAGACAGGGTTGTGTGGAGCTTGGGGAGACCCCAAAGACTTCTCGTGAGCACATGGGTGGGGCTGGCAGGGAAAGGCCCTGTGCAAGGCAAGCCCGGGGAGCTGGGCTGAGGGAGCTGCACGTGCAGGGTTGGTATGGGGGTGTCGGACACCTGCACTCCGGGGCTGCTGCCTTAGGAAGCAGGTGAAGGGGTGGGGAGAGGAGGTCAGTGTCAAGGGCCTCCCCTGAGGGTTCGCCTTCAGGACTGTGGAGGTCACAGGAGGAAGCAGCTGCTGGGCTGCCAGGCGAGGTGAGTGCCACCAGTTCCACAGCCTGTGCCTTCCTCCCCAGGAAACCAGGCTCTCCAGGGCTCTCCCGCATCTGACTCCCACCTTACTCAGCCCGGGCTCCTCCTGTCCTGTGGTGTAGCTGGCCCAAGGCTTGGCTGGCAGTGCCTGGTGGAAGCTACCAGCACCCAGGGGTCCATCATGACCCGTGCTGACTCGCCCACACTCTTCCTGGCCTCGAGGCTTCTGGCCTGGTTTATTTAGGAGGGACCCCTTTTCCCAAGGGGTGAGGTTGCTGACCATCTGCCCAGGGGAACAGTGGGGCCCCAGCAGACAGAGATCTTCACAGCAAACTTCCTGGTGGAAAACAGAACAGGCCGATGCCTAGGAAGGACCAGCCAGCCCCCTCGGCTGGGAAGGAGGCCCCAGCCCAAGCCCTCTCCTCACAGCTCTGCCCTGCTCAGCCCATGGTTGATGGCTGGCTTAGGTGGGAGGGATGGGTGTGCAGACAGCCTGGTGTTGCACTGCAAGCTGGGGCCTGGTTCCAGGTAGCTCCAGAGTCGATGGGGGGGTGGGAAACAGCCCCGAGAGGCAGGGAACCCGGGAGGCCTCGCCCAGAGCCACGCTGGCAGACAACTGTGGGGCTACCCCTGCACCACCCAGCCTCAGCCTGCTCCGTGGGCAGCAGCACAGCCTCCCCTCCATCCCAAGAGATGCCTTTGGGACTAGGCTGGGCCTGCACATGGGACTAGGGCTTGTCAAGAGTTCCCCAGACCTCTAGGCTGGCCCAGGGCGAGCACGTTCTGCAGTTTTCCCAACAGGTTAGCTCGCCAGCCCTAGAAGTGTCCTCCCCAACCCATGACCACAAGGCAAACCCTCCCACACCTGCGAGGCAGGAACTTGCAAGACCAGACACCCACTGCCTAGCCTGGTCCCTAGGTCTGTGTCCCTCTGACCCTAGCCCTGCCCTGCTTCCTGTGGCTTGGCATTCAAGGCTCTCTGGCTACTTCCTCTCACGCTCACCCTCTTCTCCGGCCTCTAGAAAGCAAGGGGCCCCACCAGGCTCCTGCCCAAGTCCCCCAGAGGGACCATGACTCACGCCTGCCTCATGGCGCGGCTGGGCTGTCCACACTCCTCCCCCACACCCTGCCCTAACCCAGACCACTGGGTGTTCCAGACGGTGCTCCATGAAGACCTCCTCACCTCGGCCACCCACCACTCACCTTCTCCTGATGCCTCACCTCCAGGGCAGGCTCCCTGTATCCCCTGCTGCACTCCTGGGCCTGCGGTGGCCCAGGTTCAAAGGGAGTTCCGTTTCAGGGCTAAAGTCTGAATAGCCTTTGTCTCAGGATGCTAGTGGGGGCAGAAGCCAGGCTCAATGGAAGAGGGAGCAGCTCCTGACACCCCAGAGAGGCCATCTCCTGGACGTCTATGGCCCCGCAACCCCTGGGTCTACACTTGCTCTGCCTTCTGCCCTCCTGGAGGCTCCAGTCTTTAGGTGCACTCGGAACCCAGACAAGGGGCCAGGCATCAGGGAAGAGCAGGGACTGGGGGATGTGCTCTGACCTCAGAAACAGTGCCCACCTCCAAAATGCTGCCCTTCCTCTGACCCAGCCCCTCCAGAGACCCCACAGGGCTGGCCTTCCACCCCACTTCCTGTTGAGCCATGGAGACCTTGCCCTGGCACCCCGACTCACATAGACTTTACGCTCCAATGGGGGCTACCACAGGGGCCTCTTGGCTGGAATCTGGGGATGGGTAAAAATGATTTGGAATGTTTGAGAAGGAATGCTACCCACAGGATGGTGAGGCCTCCTGGAGAAGGGGTTCCAAGCAGGCTCGCACAAGACAACTTGGAGGAAGAGGCTCAGGGTTCCCACATCTAGGCCAAAGCCCATCTCAGCCCAGCAGGGCACACGTGGTGCTCAGAGCTGACCTTCCCGAAGACATGAATGCCCCTTCCCCACTCCAAGTTTAGAACATGGGTTCCTGGATCAAAGTCTAGCGCCGAAAGCCAGGACAGCCATTGAGGTGCAGGGGTAGCTCGTGGCACAGGGCAGACTAGCCCAGGGCTAACGTGGCCACGCCCAGGGCTGAGCCGGTGACCCCAGCTGCCCTGGCCCTCGAGGAAGGTGTTATCTGCCAGGCCTACCTTTTCCCTCAGCGGAGAGGGGCACTGCCCAGACGACCCTGCCCGAGGAAACTGTGTTCAGGCACAGACCCTAAGGGAGAGTGGAGTCGCGGCCTCCCCACCACCTTGCCCTCAGGCCCAGCCCGGCACTCACCAGCCGCTCGGACATGGGCGTTTTGTCCCCATCAGGGAGGTGCTGCTCCAGAGCCAGCACGATGCAGTTGGCGATGATGGTGGCCAGGATCATGTACTCGAACGGAGTGCGTGGGTTAAGGACTGGCCGGGAGGCGCAGCAGGGAGGGAGACACGAGGCCGAGGCCAGCAGCGCCCAGTGCAGCAGCCACCACCAGGCCGTCTCCGGAGGGGCTGAAACAGCTGGGTCCGGAGCACCCCTCCTGGCAGACGCGGCCTGGTCTCCCTCACTCCCTGCCCCCATCCCTAGGGGCGGCCGCGAGGCGGGGCCTCAGCAGTCTGGGCCGGGAGGCGCAGCAGGGAGGGAGACACGAGGCCGAGGCCAGCAGCGCCCAGTGCAGCAGCCACCACCAGGCCGTCTCCGGAGGGGCTGAGAC